GGTTACAGACCTAAATGGGTAAGATGAAGATAATAAGTACCTAGAACACCCAGCAGGAAAAATTATTAAATAATTGCTCTTTAAAAAAAAAAAAAATCAAATTGTCTCTAGCACAAAGTACCTGACTGGAGAAACTACTATAATACCATACCCAAGTTTAACAAAGATCCACAGAGGGCAGTTTTGCTAATCTGGACAAGTTTCGGAGTCAGCTAATTAGGTCAGTTTCCCACATGCCTCTTACTCTCAGGGCGCTCTGTGAAGACCAGCAAGTGGGCATTTGTCCTCTGGCATCCCCTATGGAGATGGCCCAGGGGCCCCGCAATGTAGCCCATTATCACAATGACTCAGGCACTTGACAGCTCCAATGGCAGCCTGTGAAAAGGGACTAGTCCAATTTCAGTCATTAACTGTGTTATCTCTCAACTCCAGCACCATAAAAGTAATCACTTAAGCCAGGAAGCACTTCCCAGGAACGAAACCACCCCCTACAGCCGAAATACTTGTAACAATTCTTTGTGTAAGTGTCCATTTAATATGTGTCTTACACAAATTATTGTTTTAATATTTTATTGTATTACATATTATATTAATAACAATTATTTGTATAAGTCTATATTTAATATGTCTTCCATCCCAGACTAAAAGCTCTCTGGTCTAGTGGGAAGGAGTAGAGAGGAATTTACGCCCAGCATGCAACACATATTGCTTCATAAATAATTGCTGATTAAAGGAACATATGCACAGCTACAGCCCTTCCTTCTCAAGTGTAGGCTGTCTTCCTTGGCTTTGAAGCTCTGAATTATCCTATAGCTACTAAGTGCTTTACAGCTTTTGCAGTTCTTTCCTATATTCTCATTTGACCCTCAGAGCAATCCTACAATTATGCCATGATTAAACTGGGGCGCAGAGAAGACTCGCCTGAAGTCACCTCACAGCTTGCGAGTGGCAGTGCCAACACAAGAACCGGGTCTTCTGACTCCCCAGTCCAGTGTACTTCCTACTGTGACATTCTTTTCTCTGTATCTAGAAAGCTTAAAAGCAGCTTCTGAAAGCCTCAAGTTTAATTTCCATATTACATTTTTAAAATCATTGTAAAATGTCAGAACTGAAGAAATTGAAAAGTATTTAGAAAACATAACTATAAAGAAAATACCACTAAATGCTGTAGACTCAAAATGGAAAAAATTCAAAATATTGTGTCCCTATTAGCTCTGAAAGAAACAAATGCAGAAAGCAAGCAAAATACAGCTCCAGCTCCTTCCCCGGGCATTCACTGATGCAGGGCCAGGCGACCACAGCCTGCTTCTCCAGAAGTCCAAAAGGTCCCAGGCAGTAAGCTCAATCTCCCCCGGATCCTCTCACAACCGAGATACCTGTGACTCCCTTGGAGACAGCACTCATGTATGACAGCCAGCAAGGATGGCCGGGCTTTCCGTTCTATGTTTCTCATAAGGAAAGGAAGGAATGTTTGAAAAAACAAGAGAAGGATCAGTATTTATGGTCTAGAATATAATTTTATATACTTGAAAGACGTTTCCTACAGTCAATTCATTCCACATAAAACTACCTTTATGTATCTGCTATGTCCCAGATTCATTATAAACTCTATGACGGCTTTGTCTGGTGGTATCCTTCGTGTTAAATGCTATTTTAGACATTAGTGATACAAAAGTGAATAAGTCTGCCCATAAGGCGGCTACCAAAACAAACACAAGTTACTAAACAGAAAGCAATATAAAAATGACATAAATGCATGCATGAAGTGTTATGACAGTAAAGAAACGTAAATAGAGTTAGGCATGTTGAAAAAGGCTTCAGGAAGAGTTGAGCCTGGAAAGAATCATGGGATTCAGTAAGGTAGAAGGAAACAATGTGTGCAAAAATACAGAGGCATGAACAATGCACTGGTGTGGCAGGAAAGCTGGGTTTCATCAGCACAAGAGGCTCCCTGATGAGGAGTGACAGGAGACAAAGCTGGAAAAGGAATTTGGAGCCACAGACTACAAAGGTCCTTAAACATAATGCTAAATTGGGCTCAATAAAAGAAGCTGGACTTTATCAGGTAGGTAGCATTCTATTATTATTATATTATTATTATTATTATTTTGAGACAGAGTCTCACTGTCTCTGGTCTCAGCTCACTGTAACCTTCGCCTCCTGGGTTCAAGCAATTCTCCTGCCTCAGCCTCCTGAGTACCTGGGACTACAGGTGCGCACCGCCATCCCCAGCTAATTTTTTCTATTTTAGTAGAGACAGGGTTTCACCATGTTGCCCAGGCTAGTCTCAAACTCCTGAGCTCAAGCAATCCACCCACCTCAGCCTCCCCAAGTGGTAGCATGACAAGCGTGAGCCATCACACCCAGCCTCATCCAATTTTTAAAGCAGAATCATTACACAATCCAATTTACACTTTAGGGCAGCGACTCGGGAGGGAGGATAGAAGGTGGAGAGACATGGAGATTGTCAGGAAAACAAGTCAGAAAGCCACAATACCAACCTATGTGGGAGTTGGCAAAGGCCTGAGAGCAGCAGACTTTGGGCAGAGAGGACAAGTGAATAGAATATGGCTTTTTTGGACAAGATTGAATGAGAAAGATAAAAGAGAAAGAGCAACAGGATAACTGACATTTCTAGTAGAACGTTAAAAGAGATGTTAATATCATTCAAACCACGTTAAGGAACAAGAGACAATGCTTTTGTTTAAGTCACTTTTTCCCTAGAGTGAGAGGGAGGCCTAAAGTCCTAGTTTTAAAAATAATGTTTTAAGTTATCCGTGGAACACCATGTTTAAGCTCCAGGAGGTCCTCTGAAATAAGAGACTGGTCTTCAAAAGGCATGTGAATGACAGTTGCAGATATAAGATTTGCGATGCTTTCTAAAAGTAGGTAATTTCACAGCCAGAAAGGCAAAGATAGAATCCAAATTCAGTTTCCAAATAAAATCAGCCTAGGAGGGATAGAGGAATGGGCTAAGCAGAGAAAAGATGATGGCAACAAACCAAAAATTAGAATTCTAAATCTAATACCAATAGTGGCATCTACACACACTCATAAATCACAAAACATGTCATATGATGAGTATATGTATGGGCATGGCTGAATGCTGCACACTCATGAAAAACAACGAGAGAAAAAGGAAAGACAGCCAGGGAGCAAGCCGGCACCAATGACGACTACATGTGAAGTGACAGTAAAGGCCAGACCACAAACTCCAAACGCCTGCACAAAAGAAATGAGCAGCCCAACCGGAAAACAGCGAGACCCAGTAAACAGCCCCGTCCATTAGCTTACTGTGCAGATTCCACCCCTCTAGACCGAGCTCTAGCCCCAGAAAATCACAGGGGCTGTTGGAGAGATTCACATACAGTATCACTTAGTTATTCAAAGGGGGATACAGACCAAAATAAGTTCACAGAGAAGGCAGAAGAGGCAGAATTGAATGTGGAACACCAATGACATAACCAATTATCCTGGGTTCAAATATTCCAACCTAGCTAGGCACGGCGGCTCATGCCTGTAATTCCAGTATTTGGGAGGCCAAGGTGAGTGGATTACTTGAGGCCAGGAGTTTAAAGACCAGCCTGGCCAATATGGTGAAACCCCATCTCTACTAAAAATACAAAAAATCAGCCGAGCATGGTGGCACACGCCTGTAATCCCAACTACTTGGGAGGCTAAGGCAAGAGAATCGCTTGAACCCAGTAGGCGGAGATAGCAGTAAGCCGAAGTCATGCTACTGCACTCCAGCCTGCACGACCGAGAGAGACTCAGTCTCAAAAAATATATATATTCCAACCTACTGTGAACCCATGTGTCGCAATTATGTTTTAAAAACAGGGAAACTAGAGACATAATGCAAGAGAAGATAGAGTCATCTGAAACGGGAAGGTGGCAGGAGTAAAAGCAACAAGTACGAAGCTACCAGATGCCTCAACTTCTAATCTGCACTAACTTCAACGGCAGCCGTCAGAACATTGCCTGGCACACCCTACACTTTTGTGCATTTCAAACAACTTTTATGCCTTTTGGAGTGACAAGGCACGATAGCACAATAACCTCAGCAAAAGCTGGTACTTGACTAGTTCTGTCTCCAACGGCTATCCACAACACTGTTACCTTAACCAAACTGAATGTGCTTATGAGCAAAACGGACTTATCTTCATGGACCCACTCCAGAAGTCTTTTCATTTATCTCCGCGTATTTTATCACAGAGGCACACGCTACCATCCTGCCTTCCAAAAGACTTTTATTACCCATAATTCTGTAAGAAAGTCACTGACTTCGCCAGGCCTCCACTTCCTCACCTGTAAAACCTGACTGATGCCTTACAGGGTTGTCTGTGGACCAAAGAGTGCAATAAATGATGTAAACGGTGCTCGTTTTCAGGTCTGGCAAACAGGAGCGACTCCCATACTACCCGCTAAAGGGACTGAAAACAGGGAGAGGTGAAGTGACTGGCACCTAATCGGGTCCGGTGAGGAACCCAACACCTACTGGCCTCTTCCATCACTCACCGCCTGCCCAGCTCTCGCCGTGCCCTCCACCAGCGCCAGGCCTCCCACATCGCCTTAGGCTTCCCATGCTCAGGTGAGGGACAGAGAGCAGCGGAAAATGACTTGCCCAAGGTCAAAACGTCAGAGCAGACGGGAAAGCCCGGCCTTCCAGCAGCCGAGGCCACGTCCCCGCGCGTGCCCCTCCAGCCCCGAGGAACCACACGCTGCGCCTTCCCGGCCTTGGGGGCAGCGCAGGGGCCGCTCCTGGCCAAGCTCAGTAAGCGCCCTGGCCTCCCCCGCGCACCCCCGCCGCGCCCTCCCCCTGCCCATGGCCCGGGCGGCCGAACCCCCACGCCCGCATTCTCCCGAGCCCGGCCCCGCGCCCCCGGAGCCCCCACAGCCCCACCCCGGGCCCGGACGCCCCGCGCAGGACCCCGAAGGTTAAGTTTTCTACATCGTGGAGCCCCTCCCACGCTCCCTGCCACGTCTGCGGCCTCACGCACTGTGGCGCTCCGGACCCGGGCCCCGCCGCCACCGCCGGGCTCGCGCCGCCGGCCGCCCAGCCTAGCGTCCCCCAGCAGCGAGCTCCTCCTCTGGCCGGGACCAGTAGCCCGAGACGGCCGCCGACTTCCTCCGCGAGCTCCGCCCCGCCGCAGCCTCGGGAAGCGCCCGCCGCCGGAGCCGGACAGACGGCCCCCGCGGCCAATCGAGACGCGAGACCGCAGGGGGCGTGCTGACGGACGGCCCCCGTGGCCAATAGAAATGCGCAATCGGTGGAGGCGAGGCCACTGTAACGGGCCACGCCCCATCGGCGCTTCCGCTCGGGCAGGGGAGGAGCGAGGAAACTGTCCCAGAGTTCCTTAGAGCTCCCCGGGTCCCCGCGAAGCTGCGGCTGTCAAGGGGCGGGGACGGGGGCGGAGCGCTGGAACGCCTGCCCCAAGCAGCTGGAGGCTGGGGGTTCCCTGCGGAAGCGTGCGGGGCTGGTCACGCTCGGACCCGGCTGCCTCTGGAGCCACTCTGCCCGGCGTGGGACGAGGCCGTGCGCGCCCTCCCAGACCCTCCTCTTCGGGAATTCGCGGAGGAGCGGCGTTCCCCACGCTCTCTCATGTTCAGCGCCGAATCAGGCGCGGGCCGCGGCAGCTTCAGGATGGCGGACGCGAGCGCTCTCGGATCCCCAGGTCCCTCCGCACCCCTGGAGCGTGGTCACCCCGGACCGCCCCGTCTCTGAGGAAAAACCGCACGGAGCCCGGGACTGCGGCTTCTCCCACACGGGGCAGGCCGGCAGTGTGAGAGGGCCGCCCGCCTGGAGACCAGGCCGGAGGCGTGGGGGTGCTGCTCTGCCGGGACCGGGACGCGCGAAGAGGCGGAGGGTCCCTCTCGCCTTCGGCTTCTCCCTGCCTGGCCGCCGGTGTCCCGCCCGCCGCCGCCCCGCACAGCCTGGCCCGACCCACGGCGATGGCGCAGCCGCGGGACCCGCGGCGCCTCTTTAGACTTGTGCAGGAGGGCCGGCTACGCGCCCTGCAGGAGGAGCCGCCGGCGGCTGGCTGCCCGGGGCCGGCCGGGGATACCCTCCTGCACTGCGCCGCGCGCCACGGGCGTCGGGACGTGCTGGCCTATCTGGCCGAGGCCTGGGGCATGGACATCGAGGCCGCCAACCGAGACTACAAGCGGCCCCTGCACGAGGCGGCCTCCACGGGGCACCGGAACTGCGTGCGCTACCTGCTGGGCCGGGGGGCAGCGGTCGACTCCCTGAAGAAGGCCGACTGGTAGGTGCGGGGCGGAGAGACACCCCGCCCCCCTCTCCCCGCAGAGTCGTAGCGAGTTCCCTGCGCTTCTCCGGCCTGTCGGGCACCATAACTGTTCTCAGCTCCTAGTTCTCACCCCAGGCCTGCCCAGCTTTCCTTTAAAACGCAGATGACCTGCAGAATCCCTCCCTCTGCCCTTGTGAGTTAACTGGTCAGGGCATCCCTTTCTAAAGCACAGAGTAGTGTAGAATGTAACCAAAGAGAATGTCACCAATGAATTGTGTGCGCTACAGATAGCTTCCGGATGCGATGTTCTGGGGACATTTAGCTAAGTTACTTCTGCAGCAATGCATCGTTTCAGTTGACATTGCGCCAATCAGTATCCTTGTTCAGAATTCCTCAGTTATACACTCAACGTGTGTGTAGAGCACTATGCCATTGTATCCCATACTCGTAGCCTTGCATCACCACCACCACCACAGAGACACTGTACTGCACCATCACACAAGCCAACTGCCTTTCGTTAGATTGACACTGATTTTAGTACTCCCTAGGTCAGGTTCCTTAGAGGGTGTGAACCTCTTCAGGAAAATAGGGAAGTACATCTTACCCACTGGGCAGGGGAATAGACCTGGTTATGTTTTGAGGGTTATCTGTGGGTTTTCTTAGCTCTGTCCCAATTCACCGCTATCCTGTGAACTAGCTCCTAAGCAGCTCTGCCTCCCAGGTATCCCTCCTTTAGGTACACATTTGTCACAATCATTTTCCCCTTATTGTTTCTCCCAGTGTCTTCACAGAAGGCACAGACGTTGCCAGTCGAAGCTGTTTTCCTGCCTCCCAGACCCCTGAATCCTCTAGGTTTTCCATCGGTGCAAAGGATATATGTGTTTTGAAGACCTGGCCTCTTGCTTCTCATGTCTCAGCTGCTTCCATCTGACAGCTTCTCCTGGTTGGCCTTAGGACTCCTCTGATGATGGCCTGCACAAGGAAGAACCTGGGGGTGATCCAGGACCTGGTGGAACATGGCGCCAATCCACTCCTGAAGAACAAAGATGGCTGGAACACTTTCCACATTGCCAGTCGAGAAGGCGACCCTCTGATCCTCCAGTACCTGCTCACTGTTTGCCCAGATGCCTGGAAGACAGAGAGCAAAATCAGAAGAACTCCTCTGCACACTGCAGGTACAGCCTACAGTTATGCAGGCATGCAGGTACACGGATGTGGGTGCTTCACCCAGCATTGTCCAGCCTCATCTTCAGGTCACCCACGGGGAAAAGGAGGATTTTGGGAAAACAGAAGGCAGAGAATAAGAGCATCTAGTTGGGCCAGGTGAGGTGGCTTACGCCTGTAATTTCAACACTTTGGAAGGCCAAGGCAGGTGGATCACCTGAGGTCAGGAGTTCAAGACTGGCCTATCCATTATGGTGAAGCCTCGTCTCTGCTAAAAATGCAAAACATTAGCTGAGCTTGGTGGCGGCTGCCTGTACCCCCAGCTACTCGAGAGCTCAGGAGGCTGAGGCAGGAGAATGGCTTAAACCCGGGAGGTGGAGGTTGTAGTGAGCCAAGATTACCTCGTTGCACTCCAGCGTGGGGCAACAAGAGTAAAACTTCATCGCAAAAAAAAAAAAAAAAAAAAAGCACCTAGGGGCCTTTTTGGAATATAATCAATTTCTTTCCTTTTTTTTTTTTTTTTTTTTTTTGAGACAGAGTTTCGCTTTTGTTGCCCAGGCTGGAGTGCAGTGGTGCAATCTCAGCTCACTGCAGCCTCCATCTCCCAGGTTCAAGTGATTCAGGCATGCCTCAGCCTCCTGAGTAGCTGGGATTACTGGAGCATGCCACCATGTCCTGCTGGTTTTTATATTTTTAGTAGAGGTGGGGTTTCACCATGTTGACCAGGCTGGTTTCGAACTCTTGACCTCGAGTGGTCCACCCGCCTTGGCCTCCCAAAGTGCTGAGATTGTGGGTGTACGCCACTGTGCCCAGCCTGTAGTCTAGAAAATCTAGAATGATTATACTCTAGCCACAGTTGGCAATTAGTGACCAAGGAATCCTTTCTAAAACTTTGCAAACAAGTAGAAAACTTTTTTTTAGATGATGAATTATTTGACCAGTTTTCCCCAGGAGAAGCAATCAGCACTCCATCATTCACCCAAAATAGTGGAAGACAAATAGTCATAACCTTTGAGTATAGTTACTTTTAGTAGGGGAATTAAATTCCAGGCTATTTGGTCATGGATTGCTGTTACAATGTTTTGAAATTCCTGGGCAACAATGGACTAGCCTTGGGGATTTGCAACACAGAAGTGTAAGTTTAGGATTGAATGTTTCCCATGAAAGTGCATATAAACACATAAAGATAAGATAATCAGGTGTTGGCTGTGTACATGTAAAGTGAAAACATTATTGTTCACCACTTCAGTTAAATGTTTATTTTTGTCTGGTAGTAACAGCATACCCAATTTAATGACTCCTTCTTGTAAGTTATGGCTAATAGAATGGGGCAGAGAACAGAGGCAGGAGGCAGGAAGCATTTTATATGTGCACTAAAAAGCTCTAATTCTCAGCTTTCTCCTCCCAGCAATGCATGGCCATTTAGAAGCAGTCAAGGTGCTTCTTAAGAGGTAAGAATAAAAAAAAAAAAAAAAAAAAGAGGTAAGAATAATACAGCAAATGGGGGAAAATGTTTGCTAACTATGACAGAGTTAATATCAGTGCTACATAAAGAGCTCAGATAGATTTTTATCTAAGAAAGAAACTAGGATTTCGAAAGAAAAATGAACAAAAGACATAAGCAGATAAAGAATATGAAACAAAAATAACAAATATCTGGGGAAAATATTTTCAGTGGCAAAATCATCCATTTTTCTGTTTTTTTTCAACAAGCATTTATACATTCATTTCGTGCTTAATATAAAGTAAGCCCTGTATCAAGTGCAGGGACCACAACAGAAGCAAGACACATGTAGTTTTTACCCTCCTGGAACTCACAGACTGGCAGGAAAGACACCGTGAAGGAGTCCCAAAAGTCTGGTGTGCATTACAAGGTCTTGTGGGATCCCTACAGAACGAATAACAGGAAGACCCAATTCTGCTTAAGAGTAAAGAATCTCAGCGCTAATGTTTAAGCTGTGACCTGAAGGAGTAAAAGAAATTAGCTGAAAGTGTGAGCAAGGGAGCATTCCAGACAACAATAACAGCACCCACGCATGCTCCAAACTGGGAAAAATTGTGGTACATTTAAGAAACCGAAAAGTGTCTGTCTAGAATATACTGCAGCCTGAACAGTGAAGCGGAGGGAGAATAAATACCATCAGCCACATTGAGGATTTTCCTTTTTTTTTTTTTTTTTTTTTTCTTTTTGAGATGGACTTTCACTCTTGTTGTTCAGGCTGGAGTGCAATGGCACAGTCTCAGCTCACTGCAACCTCCACCTCCTGGCCTCAAGCCATTCTCCTGCCTCAACCTCCCAAGTAGCTGGGATTGCAGGTGCACGCCACCACACCCAGCTAATTTTTTATATTTTTGGTAGAGATGGGGTTTTACTATGTTGGCCAGGCTGGTCTTGAACTCCTGACCTCAGTTGAATCATCCACCCCAGCCTCCCGAAGTGCTGGAATTAACAGACGAGCAACTATGCCTGGCTAGGACACAGATGTCTTAAATATTTTGGCTGTGGAATTGAGGGATGGGGGTAATCATTTGATTATGAAGGATGCGGGAAAGGCAGTGGCAAAGGGTGACTTCAGGGCCTCTGGTGCAGGAAGCTGAAGACACCAAGTGCTGTCAGATGGGATGGAGAAGGTCAGAGGAGCAGCTGGTCTGCTGGGGAAGACCATCATGCTCCTGAAGGCTTAGTCCTCAGTTCAGACACAGATGGAAGAAAAGAGAGAGCTCCACACTCACAGGTCGTTTGCACACATGCAGTCCACCTGCAGGTAATCAGGTGTCAACTGTCCCCTGGGTTTAAGGTGGTAAATTTTCTTAGCTCTTACTTGGGTTTCTGGCTCCAGGTGCCAATATGAACCAGACTACAGAGACAACTGTGGCGTCACCCCTTTGATGGACGCAATCCAGTGTGGTCACATCGACATCGCTAGGCTGCTCCTCAGTGAACATGGGGTATCAAAGTGGTTTTGTTTTTATTCTTTTCTTTTGGTTCTTCCTACAAATTTTATGTCACAGGATAAGCAGAGCACATTGTTATTCAGATCCCGTGTTCCATTCCCAGTCCCTCCAAACTCCCTCTCTGGGACCTGGTGACCCCTTTAAGCATCAGTGTTCCCATCTGTAAAATGGAGACAAATTTAGTTTCTTCAGAAAGTTTTATAAGGATTAAATAATACAACGTACGTAAAGCAGTTAGCAAAGTATTCAGTAAATGATAGCTGTTCGATAGCAATAATAACAACAAACTGTCTCTGCTCATAGTGTTTTTGGCACCATAGCCTGGAACATTGAAGCGTAAACATCTTTTTGATTAGAGAGCCCTTTGAGAGCCAGACGTGGTGACTCATGCCTGTAATCCCAGCGCTTTGGGAGGCCAAACCAGATGGGTTACCTGAAGTCAGGAGTTTGAGACCAGCCTGGCCAACATGGTAAAAGCCATCTTTAAAAATGTAAAAATTAGCTAGCCATGGTGGCACACACCTGAGGCTGAGGCAGAGACTTGCTTGAACCCAGGAGGCAGAGGTTGCAGTGAGCCAAGATCGTGCCACTGCATTCCAGCCTGGGCGACAGAGTGAGACTCTGTCTCCAAAAAAAAAAAAAAGAGTCCTTTGAGAATCAGACAAAAGCCATGTATCCTCTGCCCAGAGAACTGTGTGTAAACAGCTCAGTTTTGCTGAAGTGCCAGCAGGTGCCCAGATCTGTTTCCCTATTTCTTAATTTTGACCTTTGTTCATTTCTCTCCTCTGCCGGCTAGGCTTGTCTTTCAGCAGAAGACAGCCTGGGTTCCCAGGCTCTGCACAGGGCAGCCGTCACAGGGCAGGACGAAGCCATCCGATTCTTGGTCTCTGAACTTGGCGTCGATGTAGATGTGAGAGCCACATCAACCCACCTCACAGCACTTCATTATGCAGCTAAGGTTTGTTACTTCTTATAACGGCATCCCAGCTTCTCCCAGGCTTGCCTTACTCCATTGATTGGGTAGCTCTGTAGCGTTGTTTCTTTTGTCTCTATCGAAGAATTGCCCATGATATTCTCCTGAAATGGTCAGGATTCTGAAGACCTTTTATCTCTTTAAATAGAAACCTGACTTTATTTTGTTTCTAGGCAAAAGCTTCTAAAAAAAAAACCTTTTACTCTATAAAATGCCCCCCACACACACACACATTTTTGTTTTCAGGAATAATGTTATTTGAAGCCATAAATAACGATTGTATGAATATGAAATTCCTGGCTCTGCATTCTTTTTTTTTTTTTTTTTTTTTTGCAACCCCCTCCCTGGCTCTCTATTCTTATACTGAATTTCAGAAGTTAAGAACTCTTCAACCAGCGCAAGAGAATTGCATTTACCAAGCTCTCTGGGGTGTAAAATATGAAGATGAGCAAACATTTTTACTGGAAAAGTAGCTATTTTAAATGCTAGGAACGGTTTACCTATTATCTTTAACATTATCTATGGTTGTATGCCTTTATTTGGTTTTTCTAAGATGGAGTCTTGCTCTGGTCGCCCAGGCTGGAGTGCAGTGTCGGCTCTGCTCACTGCAGCCTCCACCTCCCAAGTTCAAGCGAGTCTCCTGCCTCAGCCTCCTGAGTAACTGGGATTACAGATGCATGCCACCATAGCCATCTAATTTTTGTATTTTTAATAGAGATGAGGTTTCATCATGTTGTCCAGGCTAGTCTCTAACTGTTGATCTAGCGATCTGCCAGCCTTCGCCTCTCAAAGTGCTGGGATTACAGGTGTGAGCCACCATGCCCAGCCTATTTGTTTTTCTAATCAACCACTTTCTCCTGCCTGATGTTCCGCTTGTGCCGAAGCTGGGTAGATGCACATGGATAGGCTGAGTGCTCTGTGGCTACAGGGTCCTCTTATAGGAAGAGTGAACCTGGAACCTTAATTGTAGTTTCATCACATAGTAGCAGACTTAACTGATTTAGGTATGTTATATTTATAAAATATAATGTTTAAATAATATCCTAGCTATAATAGGAATTCCCATTTATGAGAGGTTATGATCTTTTCTAGTTTATCTCTGTCCTAAAGATTTTAACAAGTGTATATTTGCTTGGAATATTTTAGAGTTGTGGGTTCTGTATAAATCACAAGATTTATATACTGCTCACAGTGATGGAAAGTAACTGCATTGGGTTAGTAATTTGGCCCACTGAGTTGATCGTCTATATTATAATAGTTAAATGTCACCAAAATATTTAATGATTTATATTAGAATTGAGAATGATACAATATCTTACTTTAGATACGAAAATTTGGCTGGGCGCAGTGGTTCACACCTGTAATCCCAACACTTTGGGAGACTGAGGTGGGAGGATCCTTTGAGCACAGGAGTTCATGATCAGTCTGGACAACATAGTGAGACCCTGTCTCTTTATTTATTTTTTTATTTTTTTATTTTTGAGACGGAGTTTCACTCTTCTTACCCAGGCTGGAGTGCAATGGCGCGATCTCGGCTCACTGCAACCTCCGCCTCCTGGGATCAGGCAATTCTCCTGCCTCAGCCTCCCGAGTAGCTGGGATTACAGGCACGTGCCACCATGCCCAGCTAATTTTTTGTATTTTTAGTAGAGACGGAGTTTCACCATGTTGACCAGGATGGTCTCGATCTCTCGACCTCGTGATCCACCCGCCTCGGCCTCCCAAAGTGCTGGGATTACAAGCTTGAGCCACTGAGCCCGGCCCCCTGTCTCTTTAAAAAAAAAAAAAAGAGCCGGGCGCAGTGGCTCAAGCCTGTAATCCCAGCACTTTGGGAGGCTGAGGCGGGTGGATCACGAGGTCAAGAGATCGAGACCATCCTGGTCAACATGGTGAAACCCCGTCTCTACTAAAAATACAAAAAAACATTAGCTGGGCATGGTGGCGCGTGCCTGTAATCCCAGCTACTCGGGAGGCTGAGGCAGGAGAATTGGCTGAACCCAGGAGGCGGTGGTTGTGGTGAGCTGAGATCGCGCCATTGCACTCCAGCCTGGGTAACAAGAGCGAAACTCTGTCTCAAAAAAAAAAAAAGATATGAGAATTCACTTCTGGCAGTTGACTGTTTTAGAAAAAGTGCCTAATATGTGTTAGAGGCTATGTTTAAAGTATGAAAGGAAAATGAAAACTTGGGACCCCCAACTCTGCCGAAAGAAAAAAAATTAAACTGAAAGCTGAGTCATGCAGAAAGCTGCCTTTCCTTTTGTTCCTGAGCAGATAGTTACAGATATAAGGTTAAATATTTCCACAGGTAGCTACTCTGTATTCATCTTGTCTTATGTAAAGTGCCAATTTACTGAGTGGAAACAGATATTTAATAAACTATTGCCTATTCCCCCAACCTGCTCCTTCTATCTTGCAGCGTGGATTCAGTAAATTCAGTAGTGTGACCGTAACTTCCTCCTTTTCACTCCAGCCCTCTTTTCCCCTTTCAATGTTAAAGCCCTCAAAATCATTTTTGGAGAAAGACATAGACCTGTCTACCAGGTATATCCTTAATCTTGGCAAAATAAACTCTGTAAATTCATTGAGACCTATTTCAAATACTTTTTGGTTTGCAAAAGGTTTTCTTTTATCCTCATCACAGTGATAATAAATTTGTTTCAATTCAGGAAGGACATATAAGTACAATTCAGACTCTTTTATCCTTGGGAGCTGACATCAACTCTAAAGATGAAAAAAATCGATCAGGTACCATTTAATTATGCCTTGGAAATTAGTAAACTGAGTATAACCAATACACTTTTATATTTAAAACACTGGTTTTAATATTCTTTTGTTGTTGTTGTTGTTGTTGTTATTTTGTTGTTGTCATTGAGACGGTTTCCCTCTGTCACCCAGGCTGGAGTACAGTAGCACGATCTCGGGTCACTGCAACCTCTGCCTCCCAGCTCAAGCAATTCTCGTGCCTCAGCCTCCCAAGTAGCTGGGATTACAGGCATGCACCACCAAGCCTGGCTAATTTTTATATTTTTAATAGAGGCGAGGTTTCCCCATGTTGGCCAGGCTGGTCTTGAACTCCTGACCTCAAACAATCTACCTGCCTCAGCCTCCCAAAGTGCTGGGATTACAGGTGTGAGCCACTGTGCCCGGCCTTAATATTATTCTTCTCATAGCTCAGCAACTTTTTCTTAAAATATCTTTTCCTCTGCGGAACGGTGGTACAATTGCTGTTAACATAACAATGATGATGACTCCACTCATTACAGCTGCTATTGTTAATCTTTGTTTTGTTTTGGTTTTTTTTTTTTTTTTTGAGAGGGAGTTTCCCTCTTGTTGCCCAGGCTGGAGTACAATGGTATGATCTCGGCTCACTGCAACTTCTATTTTTTGGGTTCAAGTGATTCTCCTGCCTCAGCCTCCCAAGTAGCTGGGATTACAGGCAGACACCACCACACCCAGCTAATTTTGTATTTTTAGTAGAGACAGGGTTTCTCCATGTTGGTCAGTCTGGTCTTGAACTGCCAACCTCAGGTCATCCGCCCACCTCAGCCTCCCAATATGCTGGTATTGTAGGCATGAGCCACCGTGCCTGGCCCAACCTTTGTTATTATTTTAAATCGTAATGACATATGCATCATAAAAGCAGTTTCTTTCTAATCTGTGATGACACCTGCTATCCAGGTATTGTATAAATTCTTCACAGGTCATCTGTTTTGGAGTATATTTAGGAACTATATTCACTACGTTTGTTTTGTTAATTTAGAATATTCAGAAACATATTCTGAGAGCTAATTCTTTAGACTTGAACTTTAGAATAAACCCTCTAACATTTTGTGAGCCAAAGGCCATCTCACAAGAGTTTAGTGGGATTTTTTTTTTTTTTTTTTTTTTTTTGAGACGGAGTCTCACTCTGTCACCCAGGCTGGAGGACAGTAGCATGATCTCAGCTCACTGCAAACTCTGCCTCCTGGGTTCAAGCGATTCTCCTGCCTCCCAAGTAGCTGGGACTACAGGCACCCACAACCATGCCCAGTTATTTTTTTGTATTTTTAATAGAGACAAGGTTTCACCGTGTTTGCCAGGCTGTCAAACTCCTGACCTCAAGTGATCCGCCCACCTCAGCCCCCCAAGGTGTTGGGATTACAAGCATGAGCCACCATGCCTGGCCTAGTGGGGTCTTTAATGCTTCAAGGTCTTGCAGATACCTAACTACTCCAGGGCTGGAAAGGGCAGCTGCTCAGCCCAGGAAGGTTCACAGCTTCCCTGCTGGAGAGAAGGCAGCAGAATCAGCAGTGCTTCTGGACTCAGCATACCAGGAACCTCAGTACTGAAATACCCAGAGTGGGAAGCTTGTTCAACAGTGCTTTTTTGGCTAAACAATTCTTATTCGTGGTGATATTTTTATTTACAAAGCAAATTCAACAAAACTTTTAGAAAGTTTTTTGTACCATGTAAAGTGTGTTTCCGGAGTGTTCAGGAGTATGGGGAGGACATCTCCTATTTCTTGTTAACTTGTTCTGTTGGTTGCTTTAATGGGTTTTTGTTTGTTTGGTAGGTTGGTGTTTTTTTGAGACGGAATCTTAAGCTGGAGTGCAGTAGTGCGATCTTGGCTCACTGGCAACCTCCACCTCCTGGGTTCAAGCATTTCTCCTGCCTCAGCCTCCTGAGTAGCAGGGATTACAGGTGCATGCCATCACACCTGGCTAATTTTTTGTATTTTTAGTAGAGACAGGGTTTCACCATGTTGGTCAGGCTGGTCTCAAACTCCTGACCTTGTGATTTGCCTGCCTCATCCTCCCAAAATGCTGGGATTACAGGTGTGAGCCACTACTCCCAGCCTAGATAAGTTTCTTAAATTGTCTCTAACTGGTTTTGTTATCTTTAAAACTATTTTCAACCCAAGCAGGTTAAAAAGAAAAATATTTTGATCTGTATAGGTGAAGTTGTGAGGATGAATTATGGAAGATATTAAAAGAATTGATATTTTTATTGGACACTATCAACTCACGAGGTCAGTATTGCTCCAGGGGTTCTGTTTTAAGTCTGTGTGATTTTTGTCACCCCTCAGCCCTGCATCTGGCCTGTGCAGGTCAGCACTTGGCCTGCGCCAAATTTCTCCTGCAGTCAGGACTGAAGGATTCTGAAGACATCACGGGCACCCTGGCTCAGCAGCTCACAAAGAGATCAGATGTCCTTTGGGGCTCTGGCCACAGTTCAATGACATAAGGATGTTTCCAAGAGGAGGCAATAAAGCGCATGGTAATTCATATCTTGCTTCTTAAGTCATTCACAGATTCAGCAAAACCAGTTGGGAGCCAGTTTTCCATCTCCTTCTCTTCCTCCTCCCTTCTCCCATCCTGCATGTCCCACTCCTGCTAAGGAGTTCCCAGTGATGGGGGGCTAGGTTCCCAGCTTCGCGACAGGCACATTATGAAGTCCTGAGCACAGTCATAATCTTTCCATAGTCCATATCTCAGTGTTTTAAAGTAGAATAGATAATGTTTGTGAGGTCAGGCTATGGAATCCTTAAGAGAATTACGTACCATGCATGAATGTAATATGGTATACGCACTTTTATAAATACATGAAATATCTTTTTTTTTTTTTTTTTGAGGCAGAGTCTGGCTCTGTCACCCAGGCTGGAGTTCAGTGGCACGCTCTTGGCTCAGTGCAACCTCTGCCTCCTGGATTCAAGCGATTCTCCTGCCTCAGGCTCCCGAGTAGCTGGGATTACAGGCGCACAGCACCACGCCCGGCTAATTTTTGTATTTTTAGTAGAGATGGGGTTTCACCATGTTGGTTAGGCTGGTCTCAAAATTGCAACCTCATGTTCTACTGGCCTCAGCCTCCCAAAGTGCTGAGATTACAGACGTGAGCCACCGCACCCAGCTGAAATATCTTATAATAACTGCTACGTGATAAAGCTATGATAATAATATTAAAAATATAACATAAATTGCTATTAGCTTGAGCTGTAAAATGTAATTGGCCTGTTTAATTTCTTCCTTCATAGGCTTTTACTTGACCATTACAATGGTTCACTTGGTTTTGTAACCAGGAAGGGCGTGCTTATAATCTGTTTACATGCATTTTACAAGAAATTAATAAAACCTTTTATATGCTGTAAGCACTGCTGGTTAAGCTATCAAGTTTTAATTTTGTGGGTTTTTGTTAGTTTTAATAGATAGATTCAGTGTTGGCCCCCTTCAGTAATAAATACATTTAGAAAATGGAACTGAGGACTGGGCATGGTGGCTCATGCCTATAATCCCAGCACTTCAGGAGGCTGAGGCACACAGATCAGTTGAGGCCAGGAGTTTAAGACCAGCCTGGCCAACATGATAAAACCTTTTCTCTGCTAAAAATACAAAGATTAGCTAGGTGTAGTGGTGCATGCCTATAGTCCCAGCTACCAGGGAGACTGAGGCATGATAATTGCCTGAACCCAGGAGGTGGAGGTTGCAGTGAGCTGAGATCATGTCACTGCACTCCAGCCTGGGTGACAAGAGTGAGACTCTGTCTCACCAAAAAAAAAAAAAAAGAAAATGTAATTAGGATATTTACAAAATTTCTGTTAACCCGAGTTGAAGATTGGAGTTTTTTGTCTTTAAAACCTGTTTTCCATCCTGTCCCATCTACCCAGGGAACCCTCTGACTGTTAAGGAATGAAACACTCCACAGTTAGCTTTTAAAAAATATTGTAGCCTCTTAAAATGAATTAAAGATAGATGAGTCCTCAGGCATTTAGATTCTTTTTCTCCTTTTTTTCCTTTTCTTTCTTTTCCTTTTTTGATCCTTTTCTCTGGATTGCAAAGAATAATTATTAGTCTAGATCAGGCTTTTTAATAATATGCATCAATTGCAAGCAACATTGAATCCTCTTGTTCAGTGTGATCCAGCAAATGCTTATTACACACCCACCTTATTCTCAGCCTTAGGCTCAGCTTGGCACAGAGCAAGAATTTCCTCTTCCTCTTAATTATTCCCAGATGGCATCAGCAGATTCCTGTTTCTAACCACCAAATCACTGTTCTGATAGAAACACTCCTGTCTTGTGACCTCTAAATTACACACACTCTCCATCTGCACTGACTTAAGATGCAGTTGCCACTTTTCTGTTCCTTCAGAGATGCCTGCATTGATGCCGTCTGGGTCTGAAGATGGTCCTGTTGGGCAGATATTTCAGGCGTGCAGGTGGACTGAAAGATCAGTCTGTCACTGCCCTCTTTCCTCTCAGCACACACATGAGCAGCTTTGTGTTTCCAGCAGCTGCGTGCATGATCAGCTTCCATTTGGCTTTGCTTCTGACCTTACAAACCAGCTGATGATGACAACACAGCATGTCGTTCTCAGTTTTCCTGGATTCCACACACCTTTATAATAGAAACCATGGTCACCGGATGCCACTGCTGAAACCACCAAACACCCAGAGATGGCAGTGATTATAAGAACAGTAATTGCGGCCTGGGCACGGTAGCTCATGCCTGTAACCTCAGCACTTTGGGAGGCCGAGGCAGGTGGATCACCTGCGGTCAGGGGTTTGAGACCAGCCTGAACAATATGGTGAAACTCCATTAGCTGGGCGTGGTGGTGCGCGCCTGTAATCCCAGCTACTTGGGAGGCTGAAGTAGGAGAATCGCTTTAATCAGGAGGCGGAGGTTGCAGTGAGCAGAGATCTTGCCACTGCACCCCAGCCTGGGTGACAGAGTGAGACTCCATCTCAAAAAAAAATACAAAAATTAGCCCAGTGTGATGGCAGGCATCTGTAATCCCAACTACTTCAGAAGGCTGACGCAGGAGAATCACTTGAACCTGGAAGGTAGAGGTTGCAGTAAGCCAAGATTGCGCCATTGCACTCCAGCCTGGGTGACAGAGCAAGACTCCGTCTCAAAAAAATGAAGAACATTGATTGAGACAAAGACAGTAGCAATAATAGAATAATAACCAGATAGTTCCATAACAGTAACATATGAAGAATGCTGTGCCAATGATAATTGATATTTTTCTATTACTCCCTAATTATAGTTACTTTCCTCACCTCCTTTGGGTCTTTACCTACAAATCGCCTTCTCAGTGGGGCCTGCCCAGGCCTCCCAATCAAAAATTAAATCCTTTTCTTCAAAGATTTGATAATTTCTTTTCCCAGTTTATTTTTTCTTCTTAGCATTTGCTATTAGCAAATGTACCATATAATTATTTGTTTTGTTCATTGTTTTTCTCCCCCACTGGTATGCCAGCTCCTTGGACTGATTTTGTCTTTTAAATTTAAAATTATTATGTAGTTAATGGGCGATAAAAGCACTTGGAATTTACTATATGCAGGATAGAGTGCTAAGCCCTTACCTAGATTGTCTGATTTTGTCCTCTGACTCTTGCACCGTGCAGCCCCTTCTCATTATTATTCACTCTCAAGCATCTTTTCCCATACACACTTTCACAAAGAGTCTCTACTTTTTACCCTCAGCTCATAGGCACCTCCTACCCCCCTGCAGTCTAGCTTTGTTGTTGCTGCTCTGTGCAGACTCTTCCTTTTGGGTACCAGTGACATCCTAATTGCCATAGCAAGTGATACACCTTTAGCCCTTAGGTTACTGATCCTTTCAGTTCACTGCCTGCTTCTGGACTCTTGCCACATGCAATTACACACTCCTGGGTTTTTCTTTCTGCCTTTTCCTTCTCTTCCTCTGCACTCCTCTGTCAGGCCAGCCCTACATGCTCTTGTGTCCTAGCTTCTGTCTCCAGCATCTCCCTCATTTTGAGTTTTCTCCTGAGGCATTCCCATCCCTGCCTTGGGTTTCAGCTACACCCTAATGTCGGTAACACTCAGATCTCTCTCTAGCCCTTACTTTACACCGCCTGCTTACATTTCTGTAGGGGTTTCCTGAAGCTGTCAGTTTATTCAACACCTAGCCTTCCCCACGATCCACTGACATACAGGCCTGCTTTCCTGCCTTGGTTGATGGCACCACAGTTCACCCCACCTGTGTGGGAAAGCTGGGAGTCAGTCATGAGTCCTCCCTCTTCAGGAGTCCCTGCAGAGGACAGCTGCTGGGCAGCTCTCTCACCTGCCTGTTCCACACCATCCCTACTGCAGCTCCTACCCAAGCTCCCACACTCCTCCTAGACCACAGTGGCAGCCATCTCTTAAATGAGAGATGTAATAGTATGAGAGCTCTGTTGGTAGAAATGCTTACAGGCCCCTCCTGTTGCTGTGCTCCAGCCAGAAGCTGCACAGGGCATGGGCTGATAAACATATCCACTCCCTGTGTTTTCCCAGAAGTGCGCAGGCTCAGCTCCACCTTGACATGGCTGTCAGGGGGCTGTCACTAATTTGACCAAGGGCATTGATTGCCAATGGTGGCTTAACCTGCCTCCCAGAGCAGGCACTACACTTTCACTAGGATTTCTGATTGCCTCAACTAAGACCCACTTCTGCCAGGGCTGTCAGCTGGACCTGAAAGCACACCCGCTGCCATGGTGAGTGTGTGTTATTAAGCGCAATCTAAGCAGAAGAGATGCAAAGAGGTAAAAATTGTAATCACTTGAAAATAGGATCTAACATATATTACCAAAAAAAAAATTATATGAGAAAACACACAAGGCAAGATGGAAAAGATCACAAAATGGAAAGGAGATGGCAAAACTCAGGCGAAAGAAGCCAGAGGGAACTGTAAGGAGGGAGCTCAGGCAGTAAGAAGAGGGAGGAGCAAGCACTGAATTTAATGTAAACCCGGGACATTGCTAGAATCCAACAGCAGGTGGCAGACCAGAAAAATGTCCCTTTTAGTGTCCCTAGACTTGATTGTAAGGCTTATTGTGAAATACAGAAAATAGTAAAGAAGAAAACAAAAATAATCTATAGTTCCACCACCCAGATGAAACCACTCTTATTTCCCCGTAGTCTTTCAAAATGTATATAGGGCCGAGCATGGGGACTCATGCCTATAATCCCAGCACTTTGTGAGGCTGAGGCAGACAGATCACTTGAGGTCAGGAGTTTGAACCCAGGAGGTAGCTACCTAGTGCCTCAGCCTCCGAGGTAGCTGGGACTACAGGCGCCCTCCACCACGCCTGGCTAATTTTTATATTTTTACTAGAGACCGGGGTTTTACCATGTTTCCCAGGCTGGTCTCAAAACTCCTGACCTCAAGTAATCTGCCCAGCTCGGCCTCCCAAAGTGCTGGGATTACAGATGGAAGTCACCTTGCTTGACCCCTAACTTTTTTTTTTTTTTTTTTTGAGATGGAGTCTTGCTCTGTCACCCAGGCTGGAGTGCAGTGGCACAATCTCAGCTCACTGCAGCCTCTGCCTCCTGAGTTCCAGCAATTCTAAATCCTGCCTCAGCCTCCTGAGTAGCTGGGATTACAGGTGCGAGCCACCATGCCCAGCTAATTTTTGTATTTTTAGTAGAGACAGGGTTCCACCATGTTTCAACATGGTCGGTTCAACCTGACCATGTTGGTCAGGTTGGTCTCCGACTCCTGACCTCATGATCCACCTGCCTCAGCCTCCCAAAGTGCTGAGATTACAGGCGTGAGCCACCTTGGCCCCCTAACTTTATATTACAAGCAAATCCTAATGCTCTTTAAAACTTTGTGAATGTCATGTTTCATGACTGTCTGATGCTCCATTGTATTACTGTCCAT